AGAACACACAACATAAGCAGAAGAATGCTTCAGCTAGAAAATGGAATGATGCGGCAGGGTTCATTTTTAATCCGAAAGCAGTGTAATTACAATGCACTTTGGGCCTTATCCTACTCTCCTTTCTTGTATAATCCATGGCTTCTCATGTAAGTAAAGGCTGCAGGATCTGGCCTCTTACGAATTCCCAGATCAAACTTACACCTTAACTTTCAGGTGACCGCCGTGACTTTATTAGCATGTTGGCATAAAGTTCAGTCCTCAGAACTGTCTTCTCTGTGAAGAGGAGAGAGGCATTGGTGTTAAACCTCGGTAGGTGGCTTTGCCGATAACCGTGAATTACTGTGTCGCCTACAGACAACTAAGCCAGCCCAGAATAACCCCTCTCATGTTCCATCGCATTGTAATGAGCCATAAATCAGCTGGGTGTAACGACGTGGTGTGGTGTCTCCTGGAGGTTCACATTTTGTTCTAGTACAACAGCCTCGATTTTAAAAGTGCCACCAAGTACACCCTATGCTCTGCAGCCATCCCCACACTCCGTTGCATATTTTCCCTGTTTCTGGATGGCAGCATGCCCATTGCAAAGGCTAAGCAGGAGGTGGGAGTTCTGAGCCCTTTTTACACTGAGTGAGTTAGAAGCAGGTGTGATCCTATCAGGCCTTCCTTGCATTTAGTGGTCCTCTTGATCCATTTATAACAGCACTTGTCCAGAAATCTGGTTTGAATGAAGCTGAGATGAATAATTAATGTCAAGCGGTTCAGACGTCAAATATTTGAACAGCTGCTTGGGTGTTTTCTCTGGCTTTGTGCAGGGAGGCAACACCAGAAAAGTTACATCAGGAGGGGGAAGTTAAAATTCTGGCTTCAAACCCTGACCTGTCAGAACTGGCCTTAAAACTAACCTTGCCTTGGGTGAAACATGTTTGAAAGTGTGTGTGATGGGCCATCGGTTTCACAAGTTGATCTCGGGTCAGGTTGTGCGTTGCCTCCTATTCTCTAGCATTCTCCTATGTGTAGTGGCAATTCCAGGATCAATGGTCTTGTTGTTCAATCTTGATACCTCTCAGAAACATGTTTTTCCCTCGGAGAACAGGAACCTGTGAATTTCTAAAACTGATCAATAGCATTGCTTATATTTTGACTTGCCCACTAGGTATGGGGTTTGCTTTTGTTCCACAGACCGTGAAATACAGTTCCTTACTCAATTTTGTTGACAATGCATAATCTATAACCACTCACATTCTTGTTACAAAAATCCTGTCTCTTGTTTGGTAAAATTAGGTGAAATCAGGATTGTGTGTTTGAAAAATGCCTAGGGCAGGGTTACCTGGGATTAACCTCTGTGTGCGCTGCTCCAGGCCCAGCACTGGGAGCCCTCAGCTGATCAGTGTGGAAAACATGCCCTCCAGCCTCTTCGCTGAATGCCCCTGTGCTGCTACACATCTGAATGTTTACAGCGGGCTCCTGGTTTGAGGAGGCTGCCCTGCTTGGCGTGTCTTTCTAGCTACGTCCAATCTTAATAAAGTATCTTCTTTCATAACACCCCTTCATGGCTTCCCACACCCGTCCTCCTCCTCCCCTCCCCATGAGGTGCTGGCCGGCCCCTGCTACCCGTCACTGCATCTGGACAGCACTGCTCCCATTAGTACCATTAAACCAAGGTTTTCAAAAGTGAGGAGCAATTTTGGGTACCCAAGCTGATGTGGCTTAAAGGGCTGACTTGCAGGAAGCGCTGAGTACCTGCCCCTAAACTGAGGCATCCAAAATCACTAGTCTCTTGGGGTTAGTCTGAACTCAACTAGCACTAAAGAGACGACTAAGGGGGGGATATGATAGAGGTCTATACAATGATGACTGGTGTGGAGTAGGTAAATAAGGAAGTGGTTTTTACTCCTCATAACACAAGAACTAGGTGTCACCCAATGAAATTAATAGGCCGCAGATTTAAAACAAAAGGAAGTACTTCTTCACATAACACACAGTCAACCTGTGGAACTCGCTGCCAGAGGATGTTGTGAAAGCCAAGACTATAACAGGGTTCAAAAGAGAACTAGAGTAGTTCATGGAGGATAGGTCCATCAGTGGCTCTTAGCCAGGATGGACAGGGTTGGTGTCCCTAGACTCTGACTGCCAGAAGCTGGGAATGAGCTCTGGCTGTGTTTCAGGGCAGGCTTCATGGGAGGGGTAATACCTTTACTGTGAATGTGATAGAGAACATTTCTGAGCTAATGTTCTCCAAAGCTGGGCAGGGTCGGGAGCTAGCAAAGGAGTTGTTAGTGCCATCATTATTAGCCTTTAAAAGGATTTCCTCATGCATAAATGAGAGTTCATTGAGGATGGGTTTCAGGTTCTGAAATCAGATGCCTTAATGTTGGTAAGCTACACCACCGAAGCCAGGCTGTGTACTCTTAAACTCTGACCATGAGCCACTGGACTATTTGGCTTGGACGATTTAGAAACCAAATAGATGAGAACCTGCTTGTTTCCTGTGCGTGGTATCCTTGCAGAGGGACGGGCAGATAGAGGAAACAAAGGAGAAATCCCTTTTACACTCAATTGACCCCTGACACCACCACCGCCGCCCTCAGGTACTTGTTCCAAGTATTCATTATCTGGCTAACATTCAAATCACTTCTGGGACTGACCAGTCACTGCTCCAGCTTTGCATGATTTGTGTTTCCCACCTCTTCGAAAGAAAAATGAAGACCTGTACGTCCAAAGCTTATGGCCTTTGAGAAGTGATGGGCTACAGTAATGCCAGGTGCAGAAGATGGTGTTACTGGAGGTTTAATGTCATGCTTGTAAATTACCACTACATCTCTCACTGTGAGTTCTCAGGCAGCATTGAAAGAACATCCAGCTCATCTGACAGGTCTCTCGTATTACTTTAAATCTTCTCCGAAAGATTCTGATGAACTGAAAGAGTCGAGATTTAGTGGATGAGGCATTGCTATGAGAGAAGGAAGCTTAGGATGTACTTTGGCCGCCAGCATACAGCACGACTCAGCCTGTACTTGAAACACATCCGATGGGCTTGGCTGGCAAAGGTGCTGCCCCAGCCAGGCTGCAGGGCTGGCCCGTATGCTGCTGAAGGCTGTGCCACTTATCACAGAGCTGTGCCTTGCTTTCAGAAGCAGGTGTTTGGGTGCTGCACTTATCCAGGTGTCAATAATGGCAGTTTGGCAGCTCTTGTGAAAATTTAAAGCTGGTCGTTGCTTTGGGGCAGGGCTGGTTGAGTTAGTCTGGAAAGGTGATCCTGAAAACTGATGGGGTGCTAAAAGTGCCACTTCTTAAAGGCCCTCGTTTTATACAGGGGAAGAGAAATATCAAGTCTTTATAAACAAATTTTATTAGCAGCTTAACTGATACCTTGTACATTCTCAGAGGCCGACAGTGACATACTGCATTCGAGTGGTGTCCTTGGAAAGAGATCTGTATCCTGTCTAGCTCCCACTGGGGATATAGCCAGCTAGAAATACTGCTCCACCACTGGGGGGGGGGGGTCAGAGAGGGGGACACAGATCCGGTAATGACAGCATAAACTGGGTTGAGAGCACATTGGACTGGGAGAAGAGTCAGGCCCTTGTATTGTCAAGAGGGTGACTCGGGGGATGGAGGGACTGCTGTTTTTATGGGGTGCAATTAATAATCCTCCCCAAATTCAATATCCCTAACTGAAACTCACCACCTCTTTTCTTCCTGGGCGCATTCACACTGCACAAGAGGCGTTTGCTCTCAAAGCCCAATTAAAATTGGCTTAAGGAACACGCTGACGTGAGCCAGAGTTAGTGATCTGGTACCAAAATGTTTTGACTCTGGTACAGCCCTTCAACACGGAGGGAGGATGGCATTGTGGTTGGGACTCAGGGCATCTGGGTTCATTTCCCAGCTCTGCAACAGACTCCCTGTGTGACCCTGGGCAAGTCACGTAATTATTCCGTGCCTCAGTTTCCCCACTGGTCAACAGAGATGTTGAATGGTAACTGTTTGGTGTAAAACTCTTGCTGTGTTTGTACAACATTTAGCTCAAGAGAACCTGATCCTGCCTGGCATGCCCATAAAGAAATTAACAACAATGCTCGAAGATGCTTCTTGCCTGTGTTGGCTCTCTCCTAAAGATTAGCACTTCTTATGTGGCTTCCGAAGTACTTTCTACTAAGTATGTGAGGGGGCTCAATCTTGCGAGAGCCTGGGCATCCTCAGCTCCCCTGGGAGTTAGTCAGGGGCATTTAACACTTCACAGGATCTGGGCCTATGCAGCACTTCATACTTCAACAGGGATTTTGCCTGCATAAGAAGCGCTGGTTAGCGCCCTTAACATTCGTGTGTTCCTTATCTGCTTCCCAGAAGTAGTTTTATTCTCATTCATGAGCATTTAATATTGGACAAAATTAAGCCGAGGACAACACTCGTTACAGAAATGAGTGTTTTATTATCCTGGTGTCTGTTTGCCCCCACGGATAGTCCTCATGATGAAGATGCAATTCACTATTTTCCACTGGCCTTATCTCCTTGTGTTTGGCTGAAATACCACGTGATGAACAAACTTAGCTACACCCAGTAACTTATTTTGGTGCTTGAGCTTTCGGCCACGAGTGAGATACACCCCCTGATAACCCTCAAGCTCCTCTTTTCCCTTGCTACAAAAGTAAAGTTATGATGAGGGTTCTCTCAAATTCCCTTCATAATGGAAAATTAAACTGTCTCCTTCTTTCTGATGGACAGCATAAACCCAGAAAATGTCAAAGCATTTCCTGCCGATATGTTTATGTACTGTCCTGTTCCTAGAGAGGTCCCATGAGAGAGATCCAGAGGAGTCGGTGGCACTGGTTCCTGCGGCTAATCCGTTCAAAACACATGACTGAGCTCTGAAGGATAGCCCACACAGCCTAGCCTCTGTCCTAGGATTTCTTTCAAGGGATCTCCTGCTGTTGCTCTGCGAGATGTTTTGCTACGGCGCAGTGATTCATGATATAGTCCACCCATTTTATTCCCTCCAGGTTCTGGATTCATTATGTGCAGTGGCAAGGAGAATCCGGATAGCGACGCTGATCTCGACGTGGATGGAGATGACACGCTGGAATACGGGAAACCACAGTATCGTTTTTGAGAGGTTCTTACTCAGTGGAACCATAGCCATGTGTCTGATGTTTCTGAGACCGTGGTACAGCATTGCTCTGTGTAACGTTGAGCGAGCCAGGCTCAGCCCCTGTGAGAAATGCCAGCAGCTCCCCACACTGCAGCTCAGATGTTCCTTGGTCCAGGAGCAGTCCCCAGTACACATATCTGCTTCGCAGTTCCCTTTCACTCCCATTAAAGAGTCTCCCCTGGTCATCATTTCTCACCCCAGACCCAGCGGGTGAAGCACACAGGAAAAATATCACACACTTGATCCTTTGGGTTATTTTCCCTAAAGTCTCTGACACAACACTTCCATCTCCTTTTTTCCCGCTCTCAGATTTTCCCAAGATGCATTCTGCTCCAGGAGTGTCAGAAGCTTCCTAAAAGCAGGGGGCCACCAGGACCTGAACCGTGGCCCTTCCCCCAAGCCTCGCCCCTGCACTGCCTTGTCCCTGCTCCCAGGCCACCTTCCCCTCCCCCCCCCCCCACCTGCTCACTCCTCTCCGCCCCCACCCTCCCATTGCTCACCCTTAAGGCCACTAAAAGGTAATGGGGCCATGGTCTACCCACCCCCACCCCTCTTCCGGCACACTTGCTCTGCTCCAACTATTTGGTTAGGACTGGAGCTCCTCCATCCAGAAACTGGGGCCAGAGCAACTGGACTGTACCTTGCATCTCCAGGAGTTGTTCAATGCAGGCATCTAGCAGGAGCGGGAGCAGCCACGGGATCTGAATCCCCTGAAGGCAGTGTTTACACTCTGACATTGGGGGGTGGTGAGCCTTATTGTCTCTATTCTGGAATTTAATTAAACCTGCACCAGCTGCTGTGAGTCAGCATCTCGCTAATAGAGGCAATGGCACTGTGCTGACTGATGCCTGCAGAGGATCCAGCCCTAAAGTGTCTGTAAGCCAAGGTTGGTATTCTTCAAAAAAAAAAAAAAAAAAAGAGAGAGAGATTGAGAGTTTCTCTCTCTCATAACAGCTCTTCCCACATGTTACTATCAAAGGAATCTCTCCATATGGCCCAGGGCGTTACCTTCCTGTCTAAGTTTGTTACCATGTTGCCTTTGAAATCAAAGCTTCGGGAAGCTAGCTGTTGAGGTAGATTGTCCGAATGAACTCGCTCTGTATCCTTTGTAGCCAAAGTTAGCTGGCTGAGTGCCCCAGTGCCGAGAAACAGGCGTAATGCAGAGCACCCACTCCTCGCCCTTGACAAGGCTGTATTGCTCCTTAACCCTCTGTGCTCAGGTACACAGAGGCAGATATCATCCCTTGCACTGGGGAAGAGCCGGGCGAAGCCAAAGAGCGTGAGGCACTCCGTGGTGCCGTCTTAAAGTAAGCGCGTGGGCTTTGTAATGGTTTTCACCAAACTGGCTGGGTGTGAGTTGAAGGGGAAATCCCTGTTCAGCTAAGTGTGTATGTGACATGGCAAGGGAGAGGCAAAGCCAGCCAAGGAAACAGTCATGTGGCTTGGGCTGAATTCCCCACCCGTGCTGTAGGAAGGGGCAAATAAGGATATGGTTAGGGATTCGTAGAAGTCCCTGCAAAGCACATTCCCCAGCTACTCTGGCCACACCCACTCCCCTGCAGTAGCTGCCTACTCTGAGAGCAACATTGGCCAGCTGCTAACTTCTGGTGGGGAAGACACTGATGAAGTGAGCTGTAGCTCACGAAAGCTCATGCTCAAATAAATTGGTTAGTCTCTAAGGTGCCACAAGTACTCCTTTTCTTTTTACTGTGGTGCTGCAATCCCTTTCTGGGCAGACCTTTTACGGTCGGGGGCCCTGAGCTCTGTCACTCCCCGGAGCGGACTAGAGTTGAGTAGATCTGTGTGGATGCGGCTGCCGCTTGCATGCCATAGCACTCTGTGCAGTACGTGTCAGCTAGCACCGTGTATGTGATTGCCCGGGCTGGTGTAGAACAGGCCAGTGGACCCCTCTGCATGCAGCACGGAGTTGGGGCAGGTCTGTGCCGCTCCCTCGTGTGGCAGGCCTTTGTGCTTGGAGCCGAGAGCACTGCCTGGCTTGCTCCAGGCTGAGAAATGCAGGCAGCCAGAGCGCGATGTGAGCCAGGCGCTTGGGGAAGTGCTTCAGGCAAATAACAAAATGACTGTTAACAGGGACGTAGGGTTGTTTTTCTAGCCCTCTGCCCTGCATGGAGATAGGGCTTAAATTTCCCCTCTATCTCTTAGACTGAGTGATCCTCAGTGAGGTCAAGGTTGAAGTGATTGATGAAGCAGTGGAATGAGGCTTTCTTACTGTTTAGCCTGTCACAAACAGTGGCTTGAAATTAGGTTCCACTCTGTAGAAACACGGGGTTCGCCATGGTGGATCAGACCATTGGGCCTTCAGCAGTGGCCAATTGCTATGCTTCAGAGTGAAGTAGAACCATTCCCCCTCACCAGATGAGCGCATTGTGATGTGGGGGGAGGGGGAATCCCTTGCCAGTGCCCGCACACAGTAGTGGGTAGATGTGGTTTAGGGATTATAGCAGGAGCCTGGAACCTCCGAGGTCACATTCCCATATGTGGCTCTGGCAGTCAGACGCTGTATTGCCTTGTGGTCCTTGAATCCTTCTCCGACTCATTTGCCCCATCTATAAAATGGGGGTGATTATACTTAATATTTGCAAAGTGCTTTGAAATTCTGGCCAAAGGCTCCGGAGAAATGCAGGGTGTAATTATTAGCTCATGCCTTGAAGCGGGAGGCTAGATTACCCTTTTAATGTAACCCTCTTAGCTCACAGAGCTGAAAATGTCACATAGTGCTCATAATTACCAAGGCTCCTTTAAAGATTCTCTTGTGCTGTTGCCTCCTTTATTCTGTTGGCTCACAAGTGACTGGTCATGATTGCCAGTTCTGCATGCTTTAGTGCAATGGTTGTCCCAAATTTGCAGCGTTATAAGGCCATGCCTGTGAGAAGGTGCAGTTATTCTTAGAGGGAGAGTCTGTTGTAACATAGAGAGAAGCCTTTAGCCATTAAGCCTTTTGCTTCTGCAATCTGGGGTGCAAAACTCAGCTTTAGGTTACAAGGGAAGGAATTTGGATCCAAAGCCTTCAGTCAACATCACAACCACTGAGTGATTTAACACAGACTATGTGGGCAAGGGCTAGGACTAGACCAGCGGGAGTTGCCAGCACAAAGCCCAGTTCTAGAGAAGGCTAGTCCCTCGCTTTGATGCCCAGATTTAAGTGGGAGGGAATGTTTGTATTTAAGCTGTTGAAACCTACAAAAGCCAGTGAGGCTTGTGAGCTTGTAGGAGCCACGGACTCTCCGTGACCTGCTTTCAACATTGTTCTCTTCTCTGTTTCTAGTGGTGGCACGCCCAGTACCCGAATAACGCCAGAGTTTTCCAAATGGGCCAGCGATGGTGAGTGTTAGATCCATAAATTACTGTTCCATCCTGAACATTGAAGATCTTCTCTTGCAGGTTTGGATGGGGGAGGGGGGTTTTATCTTACACTTTTTTCGAGTTGCAGCCACTTACCTCTGTAGTGGTCATTGTAACTGCATGTCAATAGAAGCATACAGTGATCTTGTGTATACATAGTTCTTTGATCCCAAACAGTATCATTAACAATACTCGGTACTTGCAGAACACCTTTATTCTGAGGATCTCAGAGGTCCCCGCACATATTCCTCATCATGGGCCTTTGAGGGGCTGACCCCAAGGTGGAGACGTGCCCAAAGCCTTGGAGAGAGTCAGTCAGAGACAGGATTAGAACTCTGGCATTTTGGGCCCCCACTCCTGGGGCCCACTCTAACCATTAGGCCGCACTAACTTCCTGTTGAACTGAATGATGTCATAAAATAGCGTCTGAATTAAAGGAACAAAGCAGCTGGTGACTGCTTGGCCTGGTGACACAGGATGCCAGTTGGTAACTAGTGGGGTCTCTTGTGTTGGGAGCCATATCTTGTCTCTTGGCACTGAGGGTCAGACTGGAATCACATCTGTAGAGAACAGGGAGTTTTCTGGCCAGCAGTCCAATAGTGAGGGTGGTGTCCTGGGGGCACTGCCCTCTGTGGTAGGAGTGTCTGGTAGCATGGTATCTGAGAAGCCTGCCCAGCTGGTCAGGAAGTGTCTGTGCAATAATGGACATGGTAATGGAAGTTCTCCCTCCCCAGCAGAAACCACACTGCCTTGGGTCATCCTCCTCCATTCACTTAAGCAGCTGTCAGAGCTTCACTCCCCAGTGCCACTGTTCGGTTGCTGGTGGCTTGACCCAGACACATGTTAATGCTGCCCTTTTTTGTTGCCTTCCCATTTTTAAAAGGATAAAGGAGATTAATAATGTCACCTCTGGTGTCAGCGTAAGAGAATAGTGCCTCCTGTTGCTGTTACCGGGGAATTCTTCCGTTAGCCCAAGTGGCAGAGGCCTGTGCTTTTAGCATGGAAGGTCCTGGCTTCTGTCCCAGCTGAGGATACGTGGTGGAGGCTGCCCACAAGAATGATCTGCAACAAAGAAAATGGCTTGAGCTGTGATTTACGTTGATACTCATTTGGGTATCTTTGGGGTTTTTTTAAACCCCAGGCACATACCCAGCCCTACAATAACAAACTAGTGGGAAGTGTGAGCAGCCCGCCAGTAATAAAACTGGACACGTTCCTGCTGTAGAGCCCCAAGCACATCACAACATTGGGTAAGTGCTGTCATCCCTGCTTTCCGGAAGAGGGAATTGAGGGCGAGGGGTGTTAGGAGACTTGCCCTCGGTCGCCCAGGGAGCGCAGTAGCAGAACTGGGAATAGAATGCTGGGCACCTGACGCCCAGGCCTCTGTTCATAAGAGTCCTCAACCAGGGGCTTGGGCAACTGCACAGTACCGAACCAGTGTGGGGCTTGGACCTGGGAAGGGGAAGAGAAGGGTGAGGAAATACGGTCTCACCAAGGGCATGATAAATAAGTGTATTAAATATTCTCCGTTCTTAATCGCTTTCCTGTAAGTGACACAGCACCCACATAGCTTCCTGAGAGAAGAGAGAATAAACTGCCTTAGATAAGGGAAATTGGAGGACTTACCACAGACAGCGAATTAAATGTAGCCGTGTCAGAGGGCTGGTGAAGAAACAACAGCACTAGTGCTTGGTATTCGCTTGCATTTCTATAGTACTTGTCACCCAGACACATCACGAGCTGCTCTGCGTGGACTCTTGGGCCGAGATTTTCAGAAGTGGCTAGTGACTTTGAGTGCCCCGTTTAAGATACCTTGTAGGAGCCAGATTTGCAGAGGGCAGGTGCTCAGCAATTTCAGTCAGGACTCTTTAAGGCATCTCTGGCTGGGTGCCCAAAATCCCTCAGTCACTGGAAAATCTTGGCTTTTTTTTTTTTTTTCCCCTCTTGTGGGGGGAATTTCATCCAGTCCTGCCTTGCTGGAAACCCGGTCTGCATGGCTGCTGTAGCAAACCTTTTCTGAAATAAATCTTAGCTGGTACAACCAGCAAATGCCACGGGGCCGTCCATTGGAAGCGAGGCAAGGGTGGAATTTTCATTTTCCTTCTTGGATCTTAGGCCTTTCAGACAGCCAGGAACAGGCAGGCAGTGTTGGTTCTGGGAAAGTGACTCCTGGGTCCTTTGCTCCTGCACCTGTTACACATTTAGACTCTTTCCTTTTATTAAATGCCCTGTACCTTCCCTCTACAGACATGCCCTCGACGAGTAACGGGGAGAGCAGTAAACAGGAGGCTCTGCAAAAGACCTGTAAGAACAGCGACATCGAAAAGTGAGTATAAAGCGCACAGTCCTGCCCATTCTGTGGAAGTGAAGCAACTGCCCCCAGCTCTCTGAGCGTCAGGGTAACTCAAAGAGGCACGCACTGGCATATTTTGGACCCTTGACCACTGAAGCAGTTATCCCTGAAATAAGCTACTTCCGTCCCAAACATCAGCATTGCATTATCTCCGCTCTTAGCTCCCGCTGTCTGAAGTGGCTGATAACTGGGGGTTCCACCATCATGGGGTGAGGCCTTCTGTTTTTCATGCTCCGTAGCAATTCCTCGTCCACAAAGGAAACACCCCACCTCTGTGTCTTGGCGCTCAGTGCAGTGATCTCCAGCAGGCATGTGGTATGGAGCGGGGGTGGCTGTGTGCTTTATTGGTAAGCTCCCTGTGTTCTTCAGAATCCCTCTCCTAAAGGAAGCCCCTATGCTCTCTCTCCTTGCCCGCTCAGACCCTGCCTTGGTACCTATTTATTCCATCCTCCTTCTATCCATGGGTAGGACTCGCACCAGCCCAAAGGCTGCCATTTGAGGACAAAGGCTGAATACTCTTCGCCATGGAGCCAGTCAGCATTGGTCCTTGTGTGAGCCAGAGAGGGTCACTAGTAGGAGACACCCTGAACCTCCATTTCCCAGGATCTGAGCATGTTTCATCTGCAGCCTTCTGCCCCTGATTCAGGAGCCTGCGACCCAGCATTTAAGCTGTGTGATGATCATCTTCTTCTCTAGCTACTTCCAGCCACAGCATGCACGTACGCATGGCCTAGGATGGAGCCATGTCATGCCCTTGGTACTGTTTGTTTCAGATTTCTCTCTTTTGGGGATGCCTTCTCCCCCCCCACCTCAGAGTGGCTTGCCCCTTCCGACCCTCTTCTAAAGGCTTGTGGGGAAACCCTGGCTGTTGGGCACCTGGCCGTGTGAGGGCTTCTGGAAATCCCAGTTTAGTACTCTCAAGATCCGCCACTGCTGTCGTGGATCATTTTAATTCCCTTTTTAAAGAGAAACTCAATTATTGCCTAAAATCAGCACTGATCAGGCAAGGAATAAAACGACTCTGAATGAGACCGAAGCAGTGGGGAAAATCTCTGTGCTTGCAGATTCCAAATAACTTTATCTCAGATTCATTTGAAATCCAGTTCCTTCTCCTCATCGACCTGCCCAGGCCTGACTTCAGGTTCTGTGTCCCCTACAGACTGGAGACGTCTAACAGCTAAAGCTTTAAGAAGCACTAGTGCATGGTTAGGTGTTAGCTGAGGTAATTCTCTGCTGCCCCGACCTCTGGTCTTGGGACCTTTTTTTTTCTGTTTTAAAACCTCTCTACCCATGTGTCCCAGACATGGGTGATCCACACTGCTCATACTCTATGTAGATCTGATGTTTTCATGCTTCTCAATCAGTGGGTTGAAACCAAAACCATAGAATTTTGGGATTTGACAACACTGCAACAGGAGACCTAGCTTCAAAGTAGCTACTCTTGTGTTTTGTGTCAGAGGTGTTGAATCCCTTAGCAATAATCCATTGGCCTCTGTCTCCCCCTCCTTTGGTTTGTTGCCCATCCTTCCGTAGGGCCTCCTAAGCTCTCCTTAAAGTCAGCGACTCTACCCTCCCAAATCCACTCCTGCTGAAAAGCTAAAAGGATTTGACCCTTTCCAGAACACTTGAGCTCAAGTGACAAATTGACCTTACCTCCTTGATCAGGTTATTAAAGCTTGGTCTAGAGTCTTTTGAAGGATCCCCAAGGACTTTCCAGACAACACGTAGAATAACTATATTGTGAAATATGTGCATTCGTCCTGTCCCATCATAACCCTGCCCCAGTTCAACTCCCAGTCCTGCTGGAGCTGCTGGAAGGCAGGCAAAACTCCTTAGAAATTACAGGTAAAGTTTTACTGGCTTATTAACTCTTCCCAAGAAATTCCTCGTTTAAAGGAACGAGGAGTGCTGAGGTGCTTTTATTTAAAGGCCTTTATTTCCGTCAGGATCAGACAGTAAGATGGTGTTGGAGGTGGATTCCCACCTTTCCCTTTTTTCCCCTGTGACGTGTGTGTGATATAGTTTCTGTCCTGCTGTTTAAGGAGCCTGGATGCTCTGCATGTTTGTGTGTGTTGGGGGGGTTTGAGTTAAATTAATTGATAACAGCGATCAGACCTAGAATCCTACAGAAAGCGGGGGAGGAGGTGTTTCATACTGTCTGGCTGCTTCCCACTCTGCTGAGGAGCCATGATATATGGTGACCCAGCCCAACAGGCTAAATTGATTCATCTCCAGTTCCTGTTTCTTAATCTGGAGCTAAATTGGTTTCATTTTTCTTGTTTGGGATGGCGCTTGCAGCAAGTTCTAGGCCGAAGCACTTTGCTCCGTTGTTCATAACTTTAATTTTTGCTTTTAAATCTGGGTGTTATTGATTGGTGTGTTAAGCTCCATGTAGCATCTGATTAGCATTTTAAAAAGTTTAGAAGCACATGGTTTATCACCTGTGTCAGCTGTGCTCTCCATTTCGAACAATGGGTAATAGAGTTAGTAGTGATTCCATGTATTGATCCTACTGTTATAAGAATGACATTCCTTCCCCCCATTCCAAAAATAAGTCTAGGCATGGAGAGTATTTTTTTAATTAGCTAATACGATACAGTACGCTGTCCTTGTTTTGGCGTGCCGCTGATGTACTTTGGTTGAAAGTTAATGGAATTTGCACTTCAGGCTTCCTTAGAAGACACTCTTGCAAGCAAATTGACAAGCCTAGAGATGCAAGGAAAGTCCACACTGATTTCCCACCTCCATGTACCATGACAGGTCTCCATTGTTTCCCTTAGCAGTGACCTAGCCCCTTGCATCATCTGTGTTTGAACGGCAGATGGTAGCCACTGGTTGACAAGATGGAACTAGGATTGGTCTGGGGACTAATACACTTGGAGCATCGGGATTTAGTGGGACTTTCCAATCTTGACTCCATTAATTTTCTGTTTAATTCTAAAGGATTAGTAAAGGGGGATAGGGTAGGGAGAAGGGTGGCTTAAGTCCTCAGCAAATGAAACGCACCTCTGGTTGGACTGGAGACAGGGCTTTGCATTGGGCTTGGAGAGAGTAATCGATTCCTGTAACCGTTCAGACATGTGCCCGGTCTCCTCCACTAGCGGAGATGCTCTGCTGGGACTTGTAGTTGTGTGTCAGGACTAGCTGTGAGCTGCAGAAGCTGTGACCTCTTTTCTCCCTTCCCCCTCCCTCCCAAGACATTACCCAAGTAACCTGGCACCATTTTGAAATCAAGGTTCCCAGGGGTTAAAAGCCAACATCTTAATTCAGAGTGCCAATGTTCAATTTTGCTTTCTGCCACCAAACTAGATTGCAGGCCAGCGAAAGAGTCTGGGTTAGTGGCCCACTGGGTCACCTCCCATTTGTTTTCCTCAATTTTGTGTTGTCATAAATTCATTCCAGTCCGTTGTGGTTGATCAGTTTATCTCAGTCAGGGCAGGGAGCGCTGCTAGCATGATATATGACATGAAACATTGTAGCCAGCCTCTCCATGAATCACTCCAGCTGTTTGGTGTCAGCATGAAAGCAAACAGGCCCAGGCTGCCGAGTGTTGACTGCGATGAGCTCAGTATGGGAAGAGACATGACGTATGAATGTTTATTTAATAATTCTCTAATATTTCCAGCGGAGTGTGGCTCTGCCTTTTGCGGGGGGGAAGCGGAGGGGAGGTTGAAGGGGGAAACTCTAATCTGTTGGGGTGGGTCATAAATCAGGCAGACAACATCATTAATCAGGGATGGAACAGAACTGGAAGGAGGTGGGACTCGAGCTGCCATCCATGCTGGGAAGGGGCTGTGCTCTTTTTTTCATAAAACAAATCTTGTTTTGGCTTCCAGTTAGCGCCCTCAGTGCTGCTCGCATAACAGCAAACCAGAGCACCAGGCTGTTTAAGCAAGTGCGCTACCTTTGCTATAAACCTTGCGACTTAAGCCCACCAAGCATTAAATCCCTTTATAATTATCTTCTTTATATAACACTTCATGCTCATCATGCTCCGCTGGACGAGCTGCTTGTTGTGTTTAGGAGAGGGCTTTAGAGAAGAAAAGCCATGGCGTTTGTTTTCTTTTCATTGCTCTTCCCCCCCCCCCCCGACCTTTCTGAAGCAGCTTTAAAAAAACACCGATTCCAGGGGGAGCTCGGCGGCCCTGGCAAAACTAGTGGAATTGACGCAAACGAAGGTGCTGGGTTGGCTTGGTGTGGCCTGAAGAGTCTAATCGCTGAGAGCAGCATGTGAAGTAGCAATGGCTCTCTTCAGGGGGCTTCTCTCCTCTCAGACATGGCGCTGGAGATGGGAGCAGGGAGGGTGTGAAGTCGGAAAATTATCGCTGGCCTAAAAAGACAGATCTGCGCTTAAATCAGCACGTTGCCGGGGACTGGAGAGAAGATGCCATGAATTCACACGTCAGGATAATCTCTCCCAGCCCCAGCTCCGTAGATGTCGAACCATTAATGGGTTTTGGATGCCAAGGCGAAAAAGCAGAGGTAACAGTAACACTGGGCTGGTGCTGTAGTGCACATGGGGCTCTACAGAATAGGTCCCTGCCTGGAAGAATGCACCTTCGGAGGGCCCGGTGCTGCGGTTGGTTCCCCAGGGATTTGCCTGCCCTCAGCCAAATGCAGGATTGAAACGCAAGTTAAGACAAAAACAAGAGCAGTGACCAGCGTGGGGATGGGCTGCGGCTGAATCCTGCAGTCACTGGGCAGAGTGCTGCACCTGTCTCGGGGGGTTACATGTAGATTTTTTTTAAAGGTTCTGGTTCTCCCTTGAAATGCCATCGCCAGTACGTAATAAGTGCACTGTGTAACGTTGCTCTTCAGAAGGGCTGGTGAATAGGTTTCAGGGTTCATGTAGGGTCGTTAATCTGTGTTAGCGTATCCCGTGGGGCTGAAGTTCAGAATGATTTTGCCAGGGAGGAGAGAGCCGGGCTGAGATTCTTAACTTAGCCCCTTGTCTTCGAGCTATGAAGAGAAAT